TAGGAAACAAAACTTCAAGAACACGGCCACACAGCCCGGAAGACCCACACCAGCCATCATAACCAAACTGATAACTTTCCCTATTTTCCAGTAGAATGGTCATATAGGTTGCACATTCAGCATAAGATTTTCATGGAATATTGCTGTGAAACCTATATATGGCTAATTAAAAATAAAACTAAATACTGTTTTGTCATTTGTAGTATTCATTATAAAATAACAGCAGCTTTTAGATGTCTTTTTTTAACCAAACAAGCTGATTATTTATTTTCAGTTTTGTCTTATTTCTTTATTAGTCAGCCATATACAGGTTTCACCATTTTTTATACTACTGTTCTTGTCACTACTCATTATTTGGAATTTTATGTTTTAATTTGGATTTATTTTAGACTGGCCCAGGACCATAATAAAACTAAATATTTTAAAGGAATGTTGTAATCTGACCAGGAAACTCCAGTTATGGGAACATTAGGCATTAGAATTTAAATGTATCTTTTAAAAACTGAAGTATACTCCATTTATCAGCTTCTATTTCTGATTTAGATGAAAAAAAGGAAACCATACTACTGACAACTAGGACCTGCATTAAAATCTTGCTATATGGAATGCTTCTGCTTGGGATTAGACATTCTGTAACTGTTACAAATATTGTAGCATGGAAATACCAATAAACCCTTGGAAGACTCTGCAAGCAACATCTCAACAGATAGAACAACAGCCATACAGCACCACTTTTTGAGCAGAGCTATATACAATTCTTATATGGCACTGTCCCATTTTGACCTCATTAGAAGTGTTCTGATGCCAGAATCGCTTTTCTCTAACCTTACTGGCAGCGATCTCAACCTGAAATAAGTTGTTCCATTTACATATTTCACGGAACATCCAGTTTAGAGGTTAGAAGACTCATGGGGAAGTCAGAATAGGCCATTCAGACATTACAATAGAACATTACTGGTGATGTCATTTTGACCCAATATGTTTTGTACACTTCTCCCCTTGAGCCTCTCAATGAATTAGGAGCAAACCATTGCAAAACAATACACCCAATCCCACAAATCAATCCAAAAGTATACAGACAATAACAACAGAGATTCACATTCCCTTCTAGCTTCCAGCATGATCATAACAATAATTTGTCTTAACCAGTGACCCAAACAGATGTAAACTCATCCAGCAACAACAAAAAAGTCAGGAGAAGGCCTTCAAGACTCCCAATCTCAATTATTTCAACAGTGAAATTAGGATCAGAAATGGTACAGACTTAAAAATTATTTGTAAAAATGTTACAGTGGGTATTAAGGGTTCTAAAATGCCAATAACTATATAATTTTGAATGTTGTCTTCCAAAGTGTTAGCTATCACTCCCAACTTGACGTAATCTACACATTTGATAAGCATTCTTTCTACCGCTTCGTACTAGTTATTAATATGAAAAATTTATAAGATCTGAAGAGATCCAAAGTGTTACTAAAAATAAAATATTAATAAAAATGTTGAAGGCTACAGGACTCTAGACTGAATCATGAGAAAACTGAATCAAAGGAGGAATTGATCTCAATCTTTTATTTGTTATGTGTTAGAACATTACCATCTGTAATGTGGAACTCGTACACTTTTATTTTTAACATACTTAAAAAAGCTTGTTCAGCTGATCCTGGCATCCATCTCTAATTCAGCTCATCCTAGGTTTTAACTTTCCTGATACTCTCTAGTTCTGGGTTACCTGTCTGTACTTTTTGGTGGTAACCAGTCCATCTTTTCACCTTCAATATGTGCATTTTTTGTTTTTAGATGTTCATTCACTTTTTGTTGCCAAATATCTTCTGTCACCCCCTATTTTTTTCCTTACTGGAATTGTTTGCAATTTTGCTTTTAGTATATCCTTTTTTAGAAACTCCCACCTATGATCTCTTACTTTTTAAAAAGAAAAATAAAAGACAAATCCATGACAGCACAATCAGGGTGGATGCCCCTGAAAAGTGTGTGTGGGGGGGAGGGAGGGTTACCCACCTCAACATGATTAGTTAACTTCAAAATCCCTGGAGCTTTTTGGAGTTCATAATAATCTCTTTAAGAGTTAGCAATGGGGCTTGAAAACTTGGAATTTGCTCAACATACCAATACACTAATTAAATATGTATTTCTTTAAAGAAATACATTATTTTAAAGGAGAATGTTTAGAGGAATCTTCATTCAGCTAATGGACATCTAAAAACAAAAAACACACATATCAAAGGTGGAAAGAAGGACTGGTTACCACCAAAAAGTACAGAGGTAACCCAGAACTAGAGAGTATCAGGAAAGCCAAAACTTGAAGCAACCACATTTAGTCTTGGATCGCTGACCACAGCTCTGTCAACTTCAATCAAGCAGTATAATCCCTGGTGACACAGGACTAAGTGTCCATTTCAGCATTTTATCTAGATGCCCTTTATATAAAACAGCAAAGATGGGAATTATCCACATAGTCCTTAAAAGTGCCTTTGATGGGATAAAATCGAAAAGCAATTTCATCACAACAAATTGCATACATATAAGTGGTAGCACTCTGGGAACCGTTTTTCTTCCTGTGTCTGCTTCAGATTTTAACAAGTTCTAAGAATAAGGAAATGGAAAGCTTCAGCTCTTAATAGCCTGTGACTGCTGGTTATTTCTGTGGTGCATACACTGTCTCTCTTATGGATCCTTTCAATGTAATAAATTCATAGCGTGGACATATTTTTATACATCATGAAAAAAATAAGCAACAAAAAAGAGTGAATGGACTTGGAGACCTTCAGACCTTTTTAGACACTTTTTCAACTCTATTCTCCATATGTAAGGCATAAATTTGGAGTAAATCTTGCATTTGTGTGTTCCACCTCATTGGAGATAATGCCCAAACTACACCCATTTATTAGCATGTGGAATTCTATTTTGCAATACAGAACTTGAAATTAATTCTGGTCTTTAAAAAAGTTAAATATATAATGCTTTGAATGACAATCTACTTGAGCTTCTTCCATAAGAACAATACAGTTCTTTTCCTGGTAAAGCTAAGGAGTCTGAATAATTTATTTAACTGATCAGGTCATCACTGTATCAGTTAGAAAACAGACCAGAAACTGAATAACAAATCCAGTGGCTTTCTTAGTTTTCTACCACTGGTAAGTTACAAAGATGAAATAAAGAAAACAGATAAAGAAGACAAAGTTGAGCAAATACAACAGGCCTATATCTTAGTGACACAGTACATCTCTAATTTTGAGCTGTGCCATTTCAAAACAAAGGTATTAACTTATAAATCAAACTGAAGGTGGGGGAGTTCTTAAGTAAATTTTGTTCTGTATTTTTAAAAAAAATAACAGAAACCACAACCCCTGCATCTGAGTGAGATGGGCGGTGACTAAATTTGAAATATAAATAAATAAACTAACAAACATGTTGGGTAGAGAATCAGAACAAGAGCCAGTTTGGTATAACGGTTAAAGGCATTGGGCTAGAAACTGGGTGACTTTGGGCCAGTCACTCTCTCAGCCTTAGGAAGAAGGCAATGGCAAACCACTTCCAAAAAATGTTGCCAAGTAAACTGCAGGGACTTGCCCATGTAGTCATCGGGAGCCAAGGTTGATTTGAATGGCATAACAACAACAACAACAGAAAGTCAGAATCCTTCTCTCTCTTCATACATGGATTTGTTTTGTACCAACTCACAAGCAGTAATGTGTTCAAAGTAATACAACCCAGACAAAGATTTACTATCTAAAATCAAAAGCTTTAAGATGGCAGCCAAGGCTATGGAAAAGAATTTTGTTAAGAAATGATCAGCATGATAGAAAAAATACTTTAAAGACCAGGCCTGTTGATTTAATAGTAGTTATGCTACGAAGGCTGTTTCATAAAGAAGAACCATCATTTGAAATAGAAGAATATGCTATATAATGAGAAAGGACATAGATAAACTACCTTGCTTTATCTCTCAGTGCTGCAGCTGATGTTGCCTTACTCCAGAGACTCCCATCACAGAACTAACTCAGCACCACTTTGTCTCAAAGTAGAAGTGTGATTTCCAGCAGCAGGTTCATTATTGTATTTATATAACCCTATTAGTGTATTTAACATGTATTTTTATGCAATTCACTGTTAGGATTGCATGAAGAACACCCTATCAATATTTTAATTAAAAATAGCAAAGACTTAGTTAAAATTTCTTAGGACATAAAGAAATAGAGGTGGAACTGACGTTTTTGCAGTGATGTCCACGTGTTGCCCAGGGCGGAAATGAGCTGCATATAGGGGTGTACCTTAAAATAAGTGAAGAGAGAAACAATTTAGCTAAAAAAGAAAAATCACACAGGAAACCATTAGTGTCTGGCTACAACTTTGAAGACTGAATAATGAATTAACCAAACTACTTAGTACTTAATATCAGCCGCAGTTACACATATCTATTATAGCTACCATATTTTGAGAAAAGTATAAAAAATCTTGTTACGGTATATTATGACATGAGTCTAGTCTAATTATTTTTTTTCCATAATGGGGCCCACATTCTAATAGTAGATAGAGCTACGGCAAAGAATTGCATCTCACTTATTTATGGGCAACCTGATGATTCCGCTTATAATTGTTTTCTTATGGCACCAAAAGGTAAATTTTGTGCCAATTTTTTCAAAGACTTTTAGGGCCATACCCAAGGTTTTTGAGGGCAGATATAGACCTGCGGGCTAAGATGTAGCACCGATGTGCTAAGACACAGAAAACAGCCAGGAGAAGGGGGTCAGAGGTCACTGCTTGCAATTAATTGCAGTTTGTCATCTTGTCGCTGACTCCAAATTACAGTTAATCCTAATTAGTTTAAGTTACAAACTAACTGCATACTATAAATTATGCATCTGATTTGTCTGAAACCAATCATAGCACATGTTAGCTATGATTTTCACTAGGATGGCATGGGAGGCCAAGATGAACTGAAAACAAAAGCAAGGAAAGAGGAGAGAGGAGCACATGAACACAAAGCTCACTGTGGTTCATGAACATCACAATAAATCATATTAACATATGTAATGTGTGTGTAAATGCAGCAAATATTTAAGCTGGTTATGCTATGGGTACACTATAGTTAAGCCAGTTAAGCATGGTTACACTATGATTTCAAAGAGAGACATACATAAAAAAACTATGGTACAAGAGATTTATCTTATTGTTAATAAAACTAGATTGATATTCTAAATTCTAATTCATATGTCAAAGACACCATAGCCTAACTATTCTTTCAAAAAACCTTTTGAAAAAACAGATGTACTTCTAGAAAATACAGTACTTGATATATAGCATGGCTTCCAATTTTGTTGCTGTTGTTCAGTCACTTCTGAATCTTTGTGACCCTACGGACATCAGTTCACCAGGACTATCAGCAATTGCTTCTTTGAGTAAATTCATGCCTGTATCATCAGTGATATTATGTAGTCACATGTCTTCTGTTGACCTCTTTTTTGACTGCCTTTGATCTTTCCAAGCATCTTCTCCAGTGATTCTTCCTTTCACAATAAGTATTGAAATATTTAAGCTTTAGCTTCATTATGAATGCTTCCAATGAACAGTCTGGATTTACTTCATCTAATTCTAAATGATAGCTCTTCTTGTACTCTAATATATTCTTAACAATTTTCTCCAGCATCATAATTCAAGAGCATCTAATTTTTTTTCAGTTAGCTTTTCTGATAATCCAATGTTCATAATTATATGCTGCAACTGGGAAAACCACAGCCTTGCAGTACATATCGTTAACGTCTTTGCACTTTAATATTTTGCCAATATTTGCCATAGTCTTTCTCCCTAGTAGCAAACATCTTTTTATTTCATGGCTATAATCACCATCCCTGTAAATTTTTGAGCCTAGGAATATCAGTTTGTTATCGCTTCAATTTCTTCTCCGCGTATTTGCATTGGGTTGGCATTGCCTATTGACACATTAGGGTTCTTTTTCCCCAAAAAATATTGAGTAGACCACCTTTTGTACTCTCTTCTTTCACCTTCAACATAAGATTCCTTAAATCCTCTTCATTTCCAGCCAACAAAGTGGTATCATCAACAAATCTAAAGTTGTGTCTCTCAGTGGTTTTAATTGCTATTTCTATTTCTAGTCCAGCATTTATCATTCTGCATATAAATTAAATAAACTAGGCAACAGTATACAAACTTGACACACTTTTCCCAATTCTGAACCATTTAGTTGTTTCATATTCTATTCTACTTGTTGCCTCCAGGCCATCACACCAATTCTTTAATAGGAAAATGAAACGGTTTTAAGGGCTATTCACAATTTGTTGTGATTTAAAAAGCCTTTGCCTAATGAAAAATGAAAGATAAGTGTCTTCCTGGAACTCCCTTGCTTTTTCCATTATCCACTGGATATACACAGTGTAACCTCTGACATTTCTAACTTTTCTGAATCCAGCTTGTTCATCTAGCAGTTCTTGTTCCATATATTGTTGAAGTCTCAATTGCAAAATTTTAAGCATTACTTACTTGCATGTGAGATAAGTGCAACTGTTCAATAGTCTGGGCATTCTTTAGCATTTTTTGGTATTAAAATACATACTGACCTTTTCCAGAATCTTGTGCACTGCTGTTTTTTTTTTTCTCTAAATACATCACCTTGCAAGATTTTAAACAGTTCAGCTGGTGTTTCATCAACTCCTGCAGATTCATTGTTAGGAATATTTTCTAGGACCCATTTAATTTCACATTCCAGAATGTCTGGCTCCACTTAGTAGTTAAACCTTTACACATCAGTTGATATGGGGATCTTTTGTGCCAGTCTCCTGTATATTCACACCATCTCATCTTTACATGCTCTTTCTCTGATATATGTTTGCCTTCTTTGTCTTTTATCATGCCTGTTTTTGCAAGAAAGTTTCCCTTTATTTCTGTAATTTTCTTAAACAAACCTCTTGTTCTTCTCATTCAATTGTTATCCTCAATTTCTGTGCAACATACTCCCTCTTAGTCTTTCTTCCAACAGTCTCTTTGCAATTAAATTGATGACTTGATCCCAGTTATATGGTTTTCATGCTGGGTGAACTGGTCACAATACTGTACATATACTTCCATAATTCAGTATTATACTTGATGACAAATAAAGTGCAGCCACCAATCAAGGATACACAAAAGAACTATATTATTAACATATCATGTTCCAAGAGCCAGTTTGGTGTAGTGGTTAAGGCTAGAAACTGGGAGACTGTGAGTTTTAATTCCATCTTAGGCACAAAGCCAGCTGGGTGACTGTGGGCCAGTCACTCTCCCTCAGCCCTAGGAAGCAGGCAACGGTGAACTACTTCTGAAATTTTGCCAAGAAAACTCCAGGGACTTATCCAAGCAGCTGTCAGAAGTCAACACTGATTTTAAGGCACATACACACACAATGTTCCAATTCAAAAAGAGGATTAATAGTATATTTAAAAAAGTATATCGTATCACTGAAAATTATTTTTCTGCTATCTTCTCAAAAGTATGAAAGCATTTATTTTCAGTACTAATTAGAAGGGGCTTCTATTTGGTTCCCCTTGTGATCTGTTTTTTTTTTTCTCTAATGTATTAACTTTTATGGATTTACCTTCCTGTCCAAGACCATAATTCAGTCAGTCAGCAAAAACCACAAATAAGTTAATATCGGCTATAAGCCATGTTTAAAATAAATAGAAAAAATGATTTCTGCTTTAGCCAATTTATTATTTTTAAAAAATAAGTCACTTCACTTCATCTCAAGGTTATTTCAAATAAATATAATGAGCACCCAACATAATGATAATAATGGTTTTTCTCTGGAGAATGAGTTGCTTTTAATTCTGATCTTTTACTTACATGGGATGTATTATTTTTTGAGTAGAAGAATAGTGGATCAGCAAATGGTTATTCTTCTCCTCAGTAGCTTTTACTCATAAGGGAGAATATTATGCAAATTTATACTCCTGGTTCTCTGCCTTGTTAACATTACCTGGCTTAATGATAGCATTAGGTGACACTCGAAATATTGAAATTTTCTGTTTCGGTGGGAGTCCTAGTTCTCTGTACATCTCCATGACAGAGGGTTTTCTCTGGAAGAAACATAAAGTACAATAAGCATAGGAAAAAGTGGAACTTAGATAATATGAAACCTCTTTAAATAATAAAAATAGAATTTAACTTTTTACTGCTCTCATAGATTGTCAGAGAATACCTGCATCATAGCTTGTAATAGCATAATGCACTCTTTATTCAGAAAAAAAGTGTCATTGCTCTAAATGGAAGTTGACATCCAGTTAAGGGAGCACAGTACAATAATCTTAATTTCCTCATTAAAATCTAACACATTCAAGTTATTGTATCTGTTATTCTATCTGTGTTAGCAACAGTTGTATGCAGCTGGAGCCCATCTACAGTAAAGTTTTCATTAGAATGTCTTCTCTATGAAAATGAACAAATTATTCATCTATGACAAAACATATAATAACCCAAGGTTCCTGGGGTATACAATGAATGTAAAGCACACTGGTGCATACAACTCTCATGCTCTCACTTCACAGCTCACAAGGAAGAAGCACCTGTGGGAGTATAATGAAGAGCATGATATTTTGCTCCCAAATAGTCATTTAGAATAAAGCTGGCTTACCCAATGTTAAAAGCAATACTTCAATAAAATCTTCAAAGTCACTGTGAAATCACATAGCTTAAAATATAACAAGCAAGTAACAGCACAATCACATATATTAAATAAAATACCCCTCATAAATGAAGCAAAATGTTATTCTTTGCAGTTCTGTTTTATTGGTATCAAAATTGTTTCTTTACAAATTTCAGCTATAAATAGGATGGGTAAATGCAGAGCAAGGTCAAACATTAATTAGATCTTAAGAGAGGTGCAGATGAATAAAATGTCCTTTTCTATGCAATAATTAAAGGTGCTCTTTTATACTCACTATTCTACTTCTAGATACATTCTCACCTGGAATCTGCATGTATACATCTTTTTTACAAATAGGCATACATATAATTTTTTTCTGTATATTATGCCTTTTTCACATGGCAGTTTTCCAGTAGCTTTCCTGAGAAAACTACCTAGTCTAGCAACATAGATGAATCTTAACTACAATACAAAAGGGAAGAGCGATTTCAAAGGAGGGGGGCACATTCCAGAGGGCAGGCACTATAACAGAGAAGGCCCACTTCCTGGGTCCCATAAGGGGTACAGTAACACATTAAAATTAGGATTTCTTAGATTTAGCTTAAACATATAAATATATTGCAGAACAGAGCACTGCTATCAAATACTGATGTTGAGCATTTTTCCATTCTACTATATCTAGACTGCAAAACTACAGATGACCACTAGATGACCTAACTCTTTTGTGCTATCTAATAGTCATCTTGATCTTTACAGCCCATAAATCCCCACTTTATAGGAATTTCAGAGCCAGTTTGCTGTAGTGGTTAAAGCATCAGGCTAGAAACTGGGAGATTGTGACTTCTAGTCCTGCCTAGGCACAAAGCCAGCTGGATGAACTTGGGCCAGTCACTCTCTCTCAGCCCTAGAAAGGAGGCAATGGCAAACCATTTCTGAAAAAAACCTTTGCCAAGAAATCTGCAGGGACTTGTCCAGGCAGTCTCTGAGAATGGGACACAATTGAATGGATTAAAAAAAAAATCATCTCAATCTTTACAGCCCATAAATCCCCATTTTATAGGAATTTCACAATCTAATCTCCCAGTCTAGTCTTCTTTTATTTTATGAAATAAGTTTTTATTAAATGTGACCAAGCTAAAAAGCAATCTCCAAGTTGAGTTATACATCCATATATTCAGGTAGCAATCAAAATCCATATTTTCAGACCTCCTAGGACAGGCATGCAAACAATGCAGCCTACTAGCACTCTGTTTGTTTTTCTTTTCTTTTCTTATTATATTGTTATAAATCTTGATACTTTATGCAGTATATTGTTTCAATATGGTGATGTTTATACAATGTTAATTGGAGATTATTAGCATTGTATTATTTAGATAGCTTGGAGTGTTGAGAATACAGAAGAGAAGAAAAAAATATTCTATCAATATTAATTACAAATTAGAATATCAGTGTTACAAGCATAGAATTATATGACTTTTTCATCCAAAATTGAATATGACATTGAAACAAGAATGGCTGCGAATTGCATCGAAGTACTTGTTATATGATAAAAGTTTCGATCTTAAGCTAGTTACTTAGTATTAAAGACTCCATTGTATTGTTACTATATACCGTATTTTTCCGTCTATAAGACAATACTTTTTTCTAAAATCATTACACTAAAAATTGAAGGGCGTCTTATGCAAGGAAGTAAGCCGAGGAGAGAACCGCGCGGCTGCGAAATTGCCCATACGTTGTCTCTGCAAACAGGCTTCCTCCTATCACTAGCCTCCAATCACGAGTGAAATAGCTTGTCT